TGTGTGTGTGTAGTAGTTGTGTGTGTGTGTCTGTGTACTCATATGTGGTTGTAGGGGTCGATTTACAGCTCTTATGTGTGTGTGTGTGTGTGTGTGTGTGTGTGTGTGTGTGTGGGTGCATTTGTCTAATTAATTATCAAATTGAAATCAAGTTGTTGAGAACTCAGGTCTTGTGTCTGGCTCTTATCAATGAACAGGCTAACGTGGTCTAGTAGTTCATGTTGAAATAACTATTTATTTCAGCTTCCACGAGTATGTTTCATCTTTTTTAAGATAACTCTGTAAAAAAAAACCTACCGTCTCTGTGCCATTTGGAAATTCAGCCTACAAATGTGTCCCCTTGTACTACCTTTTTTTTTTATTTCTCTTCACCTTTCTATGTCGTGATCATGTCTTATCTCTTTCTCCTTTTCTTAGTGTCTTAAGTTCAAGTTCACGCATTTTTTCTTTACAGTGTTATTCTCATCTCTAGCATCAATCTTGCTGCAGCCCTTTGCAACTTATATTCTATATATTTTAATAGATGTGGGCTCCATGCTGGTCCTGCAAACTCTAGGATTGATTTACCAGATATTATACATTTTGTTTTTAATGATTCATTGTTTAGATTCCTCAGTGTCTCTTATATTTACGAGTTTGTCATATCCTGCCGATGTTACTTGGCTTATGTGAGTTTCTGGTGATAAGAGTGATAATAACCCCCTTAGATCTTTCTCATTTTTGGCTTTTGAGAATTGTTCCGTTCTCCCACGATGCGTTTGATTTGGTCTCTTTGTTCATTCTTCTATTTTCATTACTTTACATTTACTGGTGTTTAGTTCCAGCAGCCACATTGCCCATAACAAGGTGTTATTGCAGTTTTTATCAGTACATCGGATTTTATTCTCATTGCTTGAAGTTTTGAAAATTGGTATATAGGATTCCTGGCATGTGTGTGTATTTAATACTGTAATTAAAATTTGGGGAGTCTACCTACCTGGAGAGAGATAAAAAGAGTAGGAATGAAGCAGATATATATTCAATACCAAAAACAGTAAGACGGACAGAGAAAATGGGAGAAGAAAATTTTAAGTCAACTTACAATAATATTTAGTAAATACGAGGGTGAAGCCATCTTATCTCATCTAGTGTTGTGTGTGTGTGCAGGGTTGACAAGGTGATTGTAACCTAACCCCAGTGGCGGTACTGTGAAGCCTCGCAGGTCTGCCAGTGTCTTGGTGAGTTGTTGCGTCTGACTTGCCGCAAGTAGTCTTAGTGAGTCTTTACCATATATTACTTCCCTCAATGATCCTGTGTCCTGGAGTCTCCCCCTCCTCTCTCTCTCTTTTTTACACAGGGTTTGACAAGGTTAAGGGTTTATCTGGAGTGAGTTCCGGGGGTCAACGCCCCCGCGGCCCGGTCTGTGACCAGGCCTCCTTAGGTCAGTGTCCCAGGATGCGACCCACACCAGTCGACTAACACCCAGGTACCCATTTTACTGATGGGGAACATAGACAACAGGTGGAAAGAAACACGTCCAACGTTTCTACTCTGGCTGGGAATCGAACCCAGGCCCTCACCGTGTGAAGCGAGAGCGTTAACCACCAGGCCACCAGAGCCCCTACAGGGTCCCTAGTTTTATTGACAAGCTATTTACAGGTTAAGGATTCCTAACTTTATTGGCAAGCTAAGAGCTGTTACCTACATCAGCTCATTTGAAAGCATTTTTATTGTTGTGAGACATACAAGTAGGGAACAGGATGAAATTGGAGCCATCTGTGGGCCAGCATTTTCATTTGATCAACTGACTTTATCTCGTTGACATCATTATGCTGTACGAATGTGTTCCATACTCGAGTCATCCTGGGTATATATGATCTCAGATGGAGTGATGTTCTGGAGAAGGGTACAGCCAGAGTGAAGTTGCTGCTTTCTGCCCGTCTTGTGGTATAAAAGCTTGTTTCACGCTGTCCTCGAAGTGGATCCAAGTGTGGTACTTTGACAATACTTGCCTTGTACATAACAGTAAGGCCACCCACATCCCTCCTATGTTGAAGGCTCTGCTGAAATGACAGGTCTATCCAGGATGGGTCCAGGCGAGAGATGAGACGTCTTGCTCTGTCAAGCAGTCGCAGATGAGAGGGGGGGGGGCAGGCAAACCAAGAAAATGGAGCATACTCTCTCTCTCTCTCTCTCTCTCTCTCTCTCTCTCTCTCTCTCTCTCTCTCTCTCTCTCTCTCTCTCCTCTCTCTCTCTCTCTCTCTCTCTCTCTCCTCTCTCTCTCTCTCTCCTCTCTCTTCCTCTCTCTCTCTCTCTCTCTCTCTCTCTCCTCTCTCTCTCTCTCCTCTCCTCTCTCTCTCTCCTCTCTCTCTCTCTCTCTCTCTCTCTCTCTCTCTCTCTCTCTCTCTCTCTCTCTCTCTCTCTCTCTCTCTCTCTCTCTCTCTCTCTCTCTCTCTCTCTCTCTCTCTCTCTTCTTCTCTCTCTCTCTCTCTCTCTTTCTCCTCTCCTTCCTCCTCTCTCTCTCTCTCTCTCTCTCTCTCTCTCTCTCTCTCTCTCTCTCTCTTCTCTCTCTCTCCTCTCTCTCTCCTCTCATCTCTCTCTCTCTCTCTCTCTCTCTCTCTCTCTCCTCTCTCTCTCTCTCTCTCTCCTCTCACTCTCTCTCTCTCTCATCTCTCTCTCTCTCTCATCTCTCTCTCTCTCTCTCTCTCTCTCTCTCTTCCTCTCTCTCTCACTCTCTCTCTCTCTCTCTCTCTCTCTCTCTCTCTCTCTCTCTCTCTCTCTCTCTCTCTCTCTCTCTCTCTCTCTCTCTTCAATAAATATGTTCTTAATAACAAACGTTTAATAACTTTCGTGTCAGTAGTGAGTGGCCAGTAGCCATCAAGGCAGTACTTGACAGTGTCACTCATCCTGCGAGTGAACAGTCATAAATGCAGTACTGGGCAGTGATTTATCTTATGAGTGAACAATGGCTTGTGGCTCAAGTGGCAGCGTCTTTACTTTAAAACTGAAGCACCCGGGGTTAGACTCAGGACGAGTGGAAATAGTGAGCAGGGTTTCTTACACCTGCTGTTACTGTACACCTAGCAGTAATAAGTAGGTACTGTATCTGGGCGTAAGTCGAACTGTTGAGTGTCACATACTGGCAAAGGCTATCAAAAGCCCATGAAAGAAATGAGTTACACTGCTTGGTTTTCTTGAGTTGTCCAGGGTTACTATCCCTCTGGGTTAATACTTCCTATAAAATCGTCACCTTACTACCTAGAGCGAGACGTATGGGCAAGTCTCCTAATACCTGCTTTCCCTGTTACCTACCTGGAGGTTACCTGGAGGTTATTCCGGGGATCAACGCCCCTAGCAGTAAGTAGATACCTAGGAGTTAGTCAGTTGTTGTGGGTCGCATTGCAAATATGCAAAATTGATTGTCTATTTTAGTTGTCGTCTGTGTGGCATCCCATGCTCATCCTCTGAGCGGTAGTGCAAAAAAAAAAAAAAAAGCAGGATTACAGGGGTTGCAATGAATCTTTACCAGACCCAAATGAGCTTAATTATCTCTTTACAAATATTAATCATTACTTATATTACAATTCCTTCACATAGCTTACTGGCGTTGTTGGATTATTCTGGGTTACTCACCATCAGGGGTTAATAATCCGGTTAAATTGTTCATCTTTTAAGATAACCTGGGTTAAATCCATATAACATACCACAAGTTAATGCTGTGATCAACATGCCCTCATAAATATTGTGCAAATTGATACTAGAAAAAAACTGATTTGTTATGTTAGCCAGGCGATATTCAACCGAGGGAGTTTTAAAGAAACTTTAGTTACTCATTACACAGTTTTCTTCAATGAAAAATGGTAATACAGAAAACGAGCAATTGCTACAAGTGTGTATGGGATCCTTAATTGATCAGCAAGTTAAGTTTATTTAGGTAGTGGTACATATCAGAATTATCATACACAGTGTAAATTACCTAGGATAACCCAAAAAAGTCGGACAAAGCGACTTATTACCGTTGGAGTCCTTATATTTTCATTGGGTACACAAAAGGTCTAGGAACTAGGCCTTAAACGGGTTAACAGGAATACAACTGAAGTTATATCTACAGTTGTCTTATCTGTTGCTAGCAAATTTAGGATATATTTTAAATATGGTATATTATATTATATACCCCTCAGTAAGTGGACAGCGAAACACAGTGTTCACAAGATATATACCCAGAGAGATATGTATATATGTCGAGAGTACTTTAATCCCAGTTTTAGGGATTAAAGTATTTCTGTCTGATAGGAAGGAGTAGTCGATAGGCTTTAAGCCCCATTAATCAATCATAGTGTTCAAGAAAATGACCATAAGGCTGACCACATCGCGTTTATTTTGATGTTCATCTGTGCGTCTGCCAAACTGCCAAAGGTGCTTATAACCAAGCCTAAGCCTGGCTTCTACAACATCAGTCAGTCTGTTCACAATGCAAGTTGCTCCGTAGAAATGCTTATCTACGTCCATGTTATCATAGCGAGTGATAGGTCTACTCAGGCCTCTTACAGTGGTCCTATGGCATTCGCTTTGATTGTTTGCTTCTCTGCTAATGCTGTTCCTAATGCTAGACACAAATATATCAAGGTTGTCATCTACACTTTCCTTCAAGTCACTTTCTTTGGCTAACTTTTCAACTTTATCATGAATATATAAAGCATTATATAATATTTTTTCTTTTATTTTTTAGTACCTGTACCCGGCTTCTCTCAAGCCAGATCATAATATAACATTTACAATAAGAGAATAAAATAACAATTACAGATAGAATAGAGAATAATGTTTATATTCTGGACATATATTAAACTTTAAAAATAATTAAAATTAATCCCAAATAAGAGTAAACCTTGAAAGCAAAATAATTAGTCTTAAAATCCAGATTATATTTAATATAACAAAAGTAGAAGTTTGAAAATTGAAATATAAGCATAAACTGAATCGTCAATACCAACCATATTTGAAAACTAATGAGTAAATCTTACCAAGGAGTGAGTGGGTGTAGACGCCATGAGTAAGAACATGAGTAGGAGGTGTGGGCGACCACCACCACCACAACACTCTGCTCCCCTCTCTTCCATCATCCCCCTGACGACGCCCAGGTACCTTCCTTTCTGGATCCTGCTGGCTCACCCAGTTTCACCCACGGGAGCTTGGTTGTTGATCTCCGCTCACTGGACGCTGGACCTGCTCACTAGCTCTTCCACCATTCTCAGATTACGCGAGGTTATAATCTACACTTTCTCCTTGGAACTAACTTAAATCTAACTGGCGATCACCAAACTTCCCTCAGTCGCACGGCTAACTGGAGTTGTTTTACTCAGAACAGACCCTGGTGGATTTAGCGCTTAGTTTTGATTGTAATAATAATACTCAGAAGAAAACGTGTGTTTTCCTAATGAGAAATACAGTGGTACATGTTTCTCACTTCAAGTTGCATAACATTGGTTTCATTTCACAATCTATGAAGCCGAACGCACGACATCACATTAAAAAAAAAAATAAAAAAAATTCACTATTAAATTTGCACTTCTCAACGCTGTCATGGACCAAGAATAAATTAACTAAACCCAAATAATAAAAACTGATCTTTAAAACTTCACAATATATAAAGATATAAATAAAAATCAGTAACAAATTATAAAAGATAAAAATTTAACACTCAGTTTTGTCACTGCCAGCGTCTTATAAGCTCAATTTTTGAATTCGTGTTTGATTTTTCCCAAGAATATCAACTCCAGTGTGTAAGACAAGTGTATCGAGGAACATCAGATATACACAAGAGAGAGTGAATATCACAGGATAAACAGGTCGCTGAAGTTGTTTCCCTGAAGGGCGAGCGTTGAGGGTCCTGGTTTGTTTACATCTCTGAGGGAGCAGCCATGGTGGCGGCTGACTGCTTTAGATCTCCTTGAGAAACACTTCACATTATATTTGTGTTGCCCTATGTCTACATGATACTTTGTTGATGAAGCTGGATTCATTGGGTCTCGGCGATCAGGGTTGAAATGGTAAGTTTCAGCTGATCACTCAAAAAAGCAGTACGAAATAGGAACTTTCAGGTGATCTACAAACTTATAATGGAACTGGTATATGAAACCTCAATGAAAAACACAATAAAACATGGCTAAATTCACAATGTCTTCTTCACGTTAACTGCACAAAAGTATTTCGGCTGATTCTCGTGAAACATACCATGAATAAGTTGACTCCATTAAACTCCACAGTAGCTACAAGTGTCTTGCTTCAGTAAATGTTGTAGATGTGGAGTGATACCTTTTGGTTTTAAATTTTTGGCAGGAATGTTGAGAGAAACTTGCAAATTGTAGACCCTCAAGACGGAGAATCACTTTTCGACTCTCTTGAGCTAAGATCAAAGTGTAGATCAAGACGGAGATTAATGACTGACAGGTTTCAGTAGTTGTGCAAACAGTAAGGCTGAATGATTTCATATATCTAGGACGTAAAGAGTATTGTATTTTGGATATGCTAGTACGAATCCTGGAGAGGAAGTTAGTTTGAGATGTTAGGTTGGTAGAACTGGTAGTGTCAGCAGGTAGTAAGAAGAGTGGTGGTGGAAGTGATAGGAGCCTCGTGTGCCTGACCCTCACTGGCTACCCAGGACAACTAACCAGCCCACCCGGACGCCTGGCTCTTGACTCCACGGCTGCCTCTTGTAGCCTCTACCGTCTTCTCAAGCATTTTCTGCAAAGATGTCAGCCGAGACAGGCTTAGCACCGAAGCTATCAGTCGAGGCCGTTTTAGCTGCAAAGATGTCTTTCGACACAGTCTTAATAAAGATGTCAACCAAAATAGTCTTCTCATCAAAAAGCAATAACCATTGTATTATTAATAATACAATTGTCAGCGTGTATTGAGTCACTGCCATACCTCTTGCCGAGCCCCTGCCATAAGGCCAACACCACGACGACTAAACTAGTAACAGGAGTAGAGACGGTGGTGGCCAGGATTCATTTAGAAAACCTGGATGTGGCAGAACGGTATAACAACAAAAAGAGGAGTAACACTGTTATACCTGTCGATATACTGATACCCATAATGTCGGTATATGATATTATTAATACATATAATGGTATATCCCTACTCACAGAATTAGTAGCATTGCCCAGTGTTGCTTCCATAGCGGTGTTTATTAACAGTATGAATGACACTGCTCAATACTCTCTCTATGAAGACAAATTCACTCACAGGAGGAGAAACACTGTCCAGAGCTGTCTTTATGGCAGTATATACGTATTCTAATTAGAGTAAGATATCAGGAAGCTTCAAGTTAATTCGGATAAGTTAGTGTTGTGATCAGAAAAGTTCCAGATACAGTTTAACATGCGTTGTCCTAATCCTGAGGAAAAAATATCATACCTGGAGGTTACCTGGAGGTTACCTGGAGGTTATTCCGGGGATCAACGCCCCCGCGGCCCGGTCCATGACCAGGCCTCCCGATGGATCAGGGCCTGATCAACTAGGCTGTTACTGCTGGCCGCACGCAGTCCAACGTACGAGCCACAGCCCGGCTGATCCGGCACTGACTTTAGGTATCTGTCCAGCTCTCTCTTGAAGGCAGTCAGGGGTTTATTGGCAATTCCCCTAATGCTTGATGGGAGGCTGTTGAACAGTTTTGGGCCCCGGACACTTATGGTGTTTTCTCGTAGTGTACCAATGGCGCCCCTACTTTTTATTGGCGGCATTTTGCATCGCCTGCCCAGTCTTTTACTTTCGTAGGGAAAATCCTTCCAAGATTTTCCAAGTGTAGATTATGATATATCTCTCCCTCCTGCGTTCCAACGAGTACAAGTCAAGTGCTTCCAAGCGTTCCCAGTATTTAAGGTGCTTGACAGAACTCATGTATATATACATACACAATAATATAAAATTAAACTGAAATGTATGCTAAAAAGACATGAATTCTCCTTTGCAGAAAACCGAAGGCAAGGGAACAGTTTAAAGTGTTTACAATTAAGGCAAGTTACTGCTTGGAGTCATAGCAAGAAGTACGAGTAAGAAGTTATGCCACATCTTTATGCCCTTTATCACTTTATTTTCATTATGCGGCGGAGTTACTCCTTATTACACAACTGAGCTGAATGCACTGGAAAAATGAGAGAAGTAATATCCAGGAAGTGACCACAAGTACAGTGACTCCAGGGTAACACTGGATGGATACAATACCAGGATGGTTGTGACTGTGACCTGCCTCGCATGGGCCAGTAGGCCTACAGTGTATCTTAATACTTGGGATCGTATAAAAGAGAGGAGAGGAGGAGGAGGAGGAGGAGGAGGGAGGGAACGGGCAAAGACAAAGAAATGCAAAGACGGAAAGGAAAAGACAAGAAACGTGAACATATATAATACAAGTCAGCATTCAGTACGCAGCTTTGTGTTAAGTTACATGTGTGGTGTCTCACCAGCAAGATAAGGAAAACTCTGGCTCTTCCAGAAGGGAAGACAGTGATAAGTGTTTTATCAGTGTGTTTGTTTATGTAATAATAAGGGTGATGTTGAAGCACTGCATAAGTGTTCCTAACACTGGTAACAAGGACTACACACTCAGCACAACTCTTTCTAGGAAAATAAGAGCATAAGAAAAAACAGATAAATGTACGTATAGCTAGACAGAGTTTGATAGACAGATAGCTATATAGACAGACAACTAGATATATATAGATTCACGTAAGTTTACAAATTGATATTTAAAGTTATTGCTGAGCAGAGTAAAGTCAAGAGTTTGGCTAAACTTACTTTAATTTAGAGAATATGATAATAAAGAGACTGGGATAATATAATCCGAGGTTGTCTAACTAGAAGTCTGAAATACTTCTCAGAACAGAAATGAGAAATGAATTTAAAGACTACTATTGTTGTAAATATATTTATAAGGAAGCTGTAAACACGTAGGAGTCATTCAGAGGTTGGCAATTAGGTTTGACACAAGGCAAGTGGAGGATTGCTCCAATTTCCTGGATCAGGGACTCTTCATCATCAAGACACCCCCCCCCTTCGAAGGGAATGAATGTGAAAAAAGTAGGTGTCAAATAGGAGCTAGCAGGTTCACTGCCAATCATAATAGGAACTAGCAGGTTCACTGCCAATCATAATAGGAACTAGCAGGTTCACTGCCAATCATAATAGGAACTAGCAGGTTCACTGTCAATCATAATAGGAAGTAGCAGGTTCACTGCCAATCATAATAGGAACTAGCAGGTTCACTGTCAATCATAATAGGAACTAGCAGGTTCACTGTCAATCATAATAGGAAGTAGCAGGTTCACTGCCAATCATAATAGGAACTAGCAGGTTCACTGTCAATCATAATAGGAACTAGCAGGTTCACTGTCAATCATAATAGGAACTAGCAGGTTCACTGTCAATCATAATAGGAACTAGCAGGTTCACTGCCAATCATAATAGGAACTAGCAGGTTCACTGTCAATCATAATAGGAACTAGCAGGTTCACTGTCAATCATAATAGGAACTAGCAGATTCACTGTCAATCATAATAGGAACTAGCAGGTTCACTGTCAATCATAATAGGAAGTAGCAGGTTCACTGCCAATCATAATACGAACTAGCAGGTTCACTGCCAATCATAATACGAACTAGCAGGTTCACTGTCAATCATAATAGGAAGTAGCAGGTTCACTGCCAATCATAATAGGAACTAGCAGGTTCACTGCCAATCATAATAGGAACTAGCAGGTTCACTGCCAATCATAATAGGAACTAGCAGGTTCACTGTCAATCATAATAGGAACTAGCAGGTTCACTGCCAATCATAATAGGAACTAGCAGGTTCACTGCCAATCATAATAGGAACTAGCAGGTTCACTGCCAATCATAATAGGAACTAGCAGGTTTACTGCCAATCATAATAGGAACTAGCAGGTTCACTGTCAATCATAATAGGAACTAGCAGGTTCGCTGCCAATCATAATAGGAACTAGCAGGTTCACTGTCAATCATAATAGGAACTAGCAGGTTCACTGCCAATCATAATAGGAACTAGCAGGTTCACTGCCAATCATAATAGGAACTAGCAGGTTTACTGCCAATCATAATAGGAACTAGCAGGTTCGCTGCCAATCATAATAGGAACTAGCAGGTTTACTGCCAATCATAATAGGAACTAGCAGGTTCGCTGCCAATCATAATAGGAACTAGCAGGTTCACTGCCAATCATAATAGGAACTAGCAGGTTCACTGCCAATCATAATAGGAACTAGCAGGTTCACTGTCAATCATAATAGGAACTAGCAGGTTCACTGTCAATCATAATAGGAACTAGCAGGTTCACTGCCAATCATAATAGGAACTAGCAGGTTCACTGCCAATCATAATAGGAACTAGCAGGTTCACTGTCAATCATAATAGGAACTAGCAGGTTCACTGCCAATCATAATAGGAACTAGCAGGTTTACTGCCAATCATAATAGGAACTAGCAGGTTCACTGTCAATCATAATAGGAACTAGCAGGTTCACTGCCAATCATAATAGGAACTAGCAGGTTCACTGCCAATCATAATAGGAACTAGCAGGTTCACTGCCAATCATAATAGGAACTAGCAGGTTCACTGCCAATCATAATAGGAACTAGCAGGTTCACTGCCAATCATAATAGGAACTAGCAGGTTCACTGCCAATCATAATACGAACTAGCAGGTTCACTGCCAATCATAATAGGAACTAGCAGGTTCACTGTCAATCATAATAGGAACTAGCAGGTTCACTGCCAATCATAATAGGAACTAGCAGGTTCACTGCCAATCATAATAGGAACTAGCAGGTTCACTGCCAATCATAATAGGAACTAGCAGGTTCGCTGCCAATCATAATAGGAACTAGCAGGTTCACTGCCAATCATAATAGGAACTAGCAGGTTCACTGGCAATCATAATAGGAACTAGCAGGTTCACTGCCAATCATAATAGGAACTAGCAGGTTCACTGTCAATCATAATAGGAACTAGCAGGTTCACTGCCAATCATAATAGGAACTAGCAGGTTCACTGCCAATCATAATAGGAACTAGCAGGTTCACTGCCAATCATAATAGGAACTAGCAGGTTTACTGCCAATCATAATAGGAACTAGCAGGTTCACTGCCAATCATAATAGGAACTAGCAGGTTCACTGCCAATCATAATAGGAACTAGCAGGTTCACTGCCAATCATAATGATATGAGGGATTACCAGCAGACCCCTGGCTGCCTTCACGAGGGAGCTGGACAGACACCTAAAATCAGTACCCGATTAGCCGGGCTGTGGTTCGTATGTTGGACTACGTGCTTCCAGCAGTAACAGTTTGGTTGATCGGGTCCTGATCCACCTGGAGGCCTGGTCATGGACTGGGTCGCGGGGGAGTTGACCCCCGGAACATCCTCCAGGTAGGTAGCGCCTTCGCTCTTTCATCTCATGCGTTTGGTCGTCAGTAACAAACGTACGATAACTTGGCACGTCCTTCAGACCGCTGCAGACAAGCTGATTCCAAGTATTACTTGACCTGATCTTCCTTAGCTTGTAGGACCACAAAAAAAGTCCCTAACACAGGTATATCATACGAAGAATTATTAACCCATTGAGGTTAATAATTCAAGTATGTTTATACAGTTAACATAAATTATAATTTATG